ACTTAACGTGCTCCGTCCTGCGCTGGGTAGCTGCTCTGAAAATGTAAGGAATCAGCAGCAGTACAGGCTGCTTCACACGGCGTGAGCAGGGAGCTCTGCCAGCAACTTCAAATGAGGCAGGTCTGCGAGTGCGCCAGAGCCAGCGCCTTCAAGGGATCCGCGTATTTGTCAGGAGTATATGCATATTTATTTGTGTGTTCATCTGAAGAAAAACTGCTTTTGACTTTCACAGCTGTATCAGTCTGCAAAATTAATCCACCCTGCATGGTGTACTGGTCAACTCGGGCATGTTTAGCACGTTGTTGAAATTTTTAAATGGGATGGAATTGTTTGGTTTATTAAGCATTAAATTTTTCTGATAATTTATTACTTTAGATCAGTGATCACTTTATAATTTAACTTGTTTAGGGATTCTTTTCCCTGCTGTTTGTACTACTGAGAATTACTGTTCCACTCTTGTTAAAAATCTCTGCGAGTCTAGAAGAAAAACACCTCCAGCTAATTATTGTTTGTGATTTTTTGATTTGAACGTAGAATTTCCTTTATTTTTTCAGCATTTTTATGCTGGAGATTAATTCTTTGTCATAATATTTCCAGCTGGCAGAAGAAGATACAGCCAAATGTGCACACTCGATACTGTAAATCTCTCTCCCCTGAGATTCAGAATATCATGGCAAAGCTATGCCATTCAGTGACCCCGGCTAAGGTGTGAGAAAGAGAAATGTATTTATACTTCCTTTGAGCTGAGCTGTTATGTTATTAAAAGCTAAATTTCTGGAGCTGCCAGAAAGTCAGCAATTATTTTGTATCCATTTTCAAGGTGTGATGGGATTCGGGTCCTGTTCATGAAGAGCAAGCAGCCAGTTCCAGCCCCAGGGATCCTACCATAAATTTTGTCTGTTAGTCAAGCATCCAAGAGCAGCAGTGGCTCTTTTTAAACCAGCAAACGTGCTACTAGGAAGGTTGACCTTTCTCCAGACTTTAGCCTTACCTTAGATTTAAGCCTGGTTCAGGTCTAGGCCTGGCGCTTGATACTTATCCCTTCCACCCAAACACAGCTCCAGCTGATCAAACCCTGCTTTTCACATATGTCCACATCCCTTGCTCTCCCCAGAAGCCCTCAAAGGATGAGAAAGTGTGGCCAAAAGGAGGAATTATTGTATGTGAGAACATCTCTGTTCTCATAACTGGCCTTATTTTAATGGCTTCACAGATTAATATGTAATAAGAGCAACAGTAGTTCAGCTACTATGATTTGATCATCAATAGGATACTCTGATAGGAAACTTTTTTTTTATAAATTTAGACAGTTTTTGTTTGGGATGTAGATGACAACCTGGTAAAATTAAAATTCCATGAATAGCTAAGAACTTGTTGCTGTTCTTTCTTTGCAATGGTTTGACACCTGTGTGGAGTCCTGCCTGATGCATTTCATTTTTATTTTCTGACAGAAATGACGATAACAAAGAAAATTATCCAGACAATGCTGCAGTTTTAGAAGAAAGACAGCTGCCTTTGCAAGACATCCAGCAGCACAAGGATCAGGCAGCTGTTGGCTGCACACTAAAGCCTGCAATGGGCAACTTAAAGCTGAGAAAACCTAAGCCCATTGCAAAGCTAGAAAACGGAAAAAGCCACGAGGAAAGTCAGGTAAAAAAATAAACTTACCAAGGGGAGGTATATGGCAGAATCTGAGGCAAAGACACTTTTTGAAATGCAGAATGGGACTCACTGGCAATCCATAATCTGACTGTGGTGCTGTGATGATCCATCCGCATTTCCAGGGCCCTGCAGCCCTCGCACCCTCTGCAGTGATGGAGGTGCCTTTTGGGAGCCTCCTCAGGGAGCTGCATGGAGGGGTGCGCTGGGCGGCTGTCAAGAAGGAGTGCCAGTGTGAGAGCAGCTGTGCAGGTTTCTCTCTTTAGATTTCTTGCGACTGTTTGCACCAAACATAAAACTTGGTAACTGCAGAACTTGATCAGATTTTTTTTTCCGCCTTTTTTTTCTTTAAATTTGACCAATCAAGAATCTTTTATGCTGCTATTTTGGCTGCCTATGGACATGTTTCTCTTACTTTCTGTTCTTCTCATCTTTAATTAACAAACACACTTCAAAATAATTTTTTAACCAATGTTTTCTAACAAATTGAGTATTGCTGTAAGCTATATTTTTAGCATTGAGAGTACTCTTGCAGCCATTTTCATGGAAAGATGATTTCTGCACCTTTCTGGTGTGTGGCAATGGCCTCTTAAGGGACAGGAGCTTGAATACTCCCTTTCTGTATAAAGCTTGCCATGAAACTGGTCCTTTCATGCGGTTTATAAAACTTAGTATTTCCTGTCCTGCCTCTGAAAGCTGTGCAGCCTTTTACTTAGTTTATTTGTGACACTAGGTTTTCAGAAAATAAGGTGACTTTTACAGGCAATCTTGGCATGTGTTTTCATTCTGGGGCTGCTGGATGGCAGCTGAACTGGCCTCATCTAAGAGTCAGTCTCTTTCAAAATATCAACATCAGCTCTTACTCTAATCTTCTTGCGTGTTTTTGCTGGAATTCATCCCTGAGATGATGCAGTAGATGCTGATTTTTTGGTAATTATGTTACATTAGTAGGAAATACTCTGTAGATTATAGGGAGGTGAGGTGTGCATGTTTATCAGCTGATAGGAAAGATGAAAGGGAACCACCGTGCACTACGAAGAGCAAGTGGAAGCACATCAGGAGGAGTGATCAGCAAGTCATCAAAAGGAAGAGATCCAACACAGAGATCCATCAGTTGCTGCTGCTTCAGCTGCCTTCTGTGTCATCCGTCTGCCTCCTGCCTCGGTGTGTCATGCGGGGGGCTCTTACCAATAGATGCTAACACTCACAGACTTGCTCTTTCTGCATCTTATTGGCCTGAAGCGGTTAACTGAAAATGTTGATTTTCTTTTATGGGAAAAATTCTGAGCATATAATTAGACTGCCATAAAATGCCAGTTCAGTTCAAACATGCGCTCTGTGGAAGCAAAAATGGGGTCAGGCAGATAACTTTAATACGACTCCAGGGCTTGAATTAAGAAGGATAAAAGTGGTCCTGGGCCCCACACTCACTGTTGCTCCCACTTCTGGCTTACTGGAGAAGATAAGATGTGTAGGTACCGTTTTATCCTACCTTTGATTTGATAGGAGTACTCGAAAGAGCTTAGAAAGTGCTATAAAAGATGAACACAAAGCAAAACATCACTTCGTAACAGGAACTCCATTTACTTGTACAGGGAATGGTACCCTGGTACTGTGACAGACTTTTCAAAGGGTATCCTTTATCTACACAGAGCTCAGCAGACCCTGCTGCAGGGGATGGAATTTGCCTCTTGGAAGTCTGCAGAAGGAGGACATTGTAAAGAAAACGTATGCCTAGCCCTTTATTTTGCATGCCCTGCATTCCCACGAGCAGGGAGGTGCACGCTCCTTGCTTGCTGTATCTTCAGGAGCCTCCAGGGGTTTTGATCTTGAAGAAGTGGCATCTGTCTCAGAGGCTTGGTTTAATGCACCGATAACAAGCAAGGCTCTGCTTCCCAAAGTGCTCTGCAATGGATTTGTTTCTTCAGGAAGCTCTCGGCGAGATCCTGGGCACGCTGTGGCCTTCAGCTCCCCATGCAGACTACTGCCTGCACTGGAGCTGCTGGAGAGCTGCTAGCTCCTGCTTCTCTCCATTTGGAAGCTGCAAGTGAAGTACTGCTGCATTTCCAGCAGCTGTGAGTGGACATGTGACAGGTTGCAGCTATCTGGAGTAGCCAGGCTAAGGCTCTGGAACTGCATGCAGGGGCCTCTGCCTTGCCTTCGGTGAAACTGTTGCCACCAAGTGCCCAGGGGGTAAATGGTGTGCTTAAAAGCAGCTAATGAGGAGCTGACAAACAGCAAGCCCGAGTGAAAGACGAGTCAGATGTGTTGTGAATGCAAAGGAAATGCTCACTGCTGCATGCTAGGAGACCAAGGACTGCCCTTTCAGGAAACTGTCCCTGTAAAATCAGAACAGGGTATTGGGAGATGAATTACTTTGCTGCATTTGTTGGAAAGATCAAAGTCTATCTGGATGGAAACCAATCTTATGTGCCTTTCTACCAGTGAGTATCCAGGAGTTTCCATAGCAGAGACGTCACTGAGAGGGAACAGACCTCAGTGCTCAAACGGGGAGAGGCAGCGACCCTGGGGATCCTGACCTGCCCCAGGCTCTGTGACTGCTCCCTGTGACTCCTTTTGAGGTTACATGGTGATTAACAGGACCAATTCTGACAGAACCTAGTCCGCTTGGCCAGGTATCAGCTGATAAAATGTTGCTAGCGGAAAGCAATTCCTTGGGTATTGCATGCCATTATTTCTTGCAGGGCAGGTGCTCAGTGTCAGGCAGCTGTATCCCTTCGAAGGGTGGGCACAGAGGCAGGCTGCTGGGATGTGGTTGTGCCTCTGCACTCCTGCTCTTCGGGTTCGTCTTTCCCGTGGTTTCATGAGCTGCTTTTGCAATTCATAAATGGCAATCTATTGAAAATGAGATTAGCTGGGATTTATTGGCCTTCAAGAGGTGAGGAAGCACATGCTCAGAAGGTACTCCAGGGAGCCAGTATGCGAGCAGATGGAGTGGGAAGTCTGCTTCCCCTGCCTAATCCCTCCTGGTGCTCACCTTTGTCACACAGGCATGATTTTACATTATTCCTCCTCAAATTCTGTATTGGTACTGAGATGTATTCCTAAAATGAAATTAAACATGCTAGCAATTCAGCTTTAAAGCCTAATTACCAAGGTGAATGACTGAAAATTGAATGGTGGCTTGGCATAGGTATCTAGAGAAAGGAATGCTGAAAGCTACTATATTAAATTTGTTATTTTAAGTGTAAACTAAATAGGAGAAGAACTTCCAGTAATTTGGTGTTATAAATACGCAGGAATCAAAAGATAAGTGAATGTTAAGGCATTAGCTACATGGACACACAAATGTGATGGGTAGCCTGCATGTTCCACTTCAGTTTTCAGGCATGCTCCATTTGTGAGTAAACCGTGCTCCTGGTTGTGGGTTGAGTCTGTGCATTTGCTCTTATTCAATGTACTGGTTTATTTTCTTGTGTGAACTGGCATTTTCAGAAGAGGCAGGAGACACTTTTGCCCCGGACTTCAAGTCCCAGCTATTTTCTGCATTGGGGTAGCAGAGTGAGAGGTGCCAGGAGTCTGAGCCTGAGCATTGCTGCAGTGTTTCCAGAGAGCAGGAACTCCCATCTGAGGAGAGCTGGGTGCTGGATAAGCCGCATTAAGGATGCAAGGCACTTCCTGAAGTTCAGCAGTAGATTAAGCTGCTATGTGAACACAGCAAACGTTAGGACCTCTGTACTGTAATTCAAATGCTTTCGCAGAGATGGGCTATACATGCTGTGATTTTCTAGAGAAAAAGAGGGATAAAAAATAGCTTGTAAAAGAAAACCTAATTTATCTTAGCATATGTATGCAGAGTAGTATTTTACAGCTGTTTCCAAACCTGTGTGCTGTTTCTGTATAAAGCAAATAGCACGGCGATGATTACACTCTGCTCAGCAAAGCTGGGAGCTTTCCCTCGTCACAGCCCAGCCGCAGACACCTTAGCCTGTGCTGAAGGAAAACACAAATTCAGCAGCGGGTGGCACTGTGCTGTGGGCTGCCCTTGACACGTCAGGAATGGACTCCGTTGTTAAGGAACGCAGGTCCCATCAAGCGTGTTTGCTCAGTGGCATCATCCTTATATAATTTATTAACACACACACCCCACAACCAAAAACTCTCTGAGTCTTCAAATGTCAAGACTGCAAGTGAACATTTATTACCTGCAGGCATGTGGGTCCTCAACTTTACCTTTCGTTAAAAAGAGCATCTTGCATTGCTGCCTTCTCTGCTGAGATTGGAGAGGGAATTTGTTGGGGGAAAAAAAAAAAAAAAAAAAAAAAGGAAAATGGGACAAAGAGGCTTCTGCCATTCAGTTGATACTAAACTACAGACATGGGGAGAGGGGAAGACTTCTATCCTCTAAAGCTAGGGAGGAGGCAAAAGGCAAGAGAAGCCAGAGTAGCTCTAGTCAGTGAACACCACCAGGGCTGCGTTACATCCTGTCTGAACAGGAGACAGTCTCTGCTTTGGAAATCCGCCCTCCTGGGAAGCACGCGTGGTGGGAAGGCTCAGGTAGGCTGCGGCGTCCATGCGCATCCGTGTGGAGCGGTGGGACGCGCCGTCGCGGGCAGGGGCAGCGCGGCCGGGCCAGCTGCCTCCTGCGATGGAGAGACTCAACTCTTCTGTTGCGCTCATCCCGTAGGCTAAGCGGGAGGAGTTAACGTTCCCTTATCCAAAGAATATCCTGGCCGTTTAAAAAAGGACTGAGATTAAAAATAAGGTAGTAAGAGTATCGTTAAACTGTGAGGAAGTAAAACGTGGATGTTCAGACTTTTTGTTTATTTTTACCAGGCTTTTCTACAACTTTTATTCTTTTGAAAGCCATACAGCTTTTTTTTCAAAAGCTCGGAGTAAAATGCATACCTAATTCCTAGTTCTGACCTCGATTTGTTGAACTAAACTGGCTCTTTTATTTTCATTGTGGCCAGGTGGCTGGTGTCATTTTTTTTTCTTGCTGGCCTTTGCTCCTCAGGAGCACAGCAATACTCTGTTCAAAGAGCTTTTCATAAGAGAGAGAAGGGAAAAAACAAAGGGCAAAAGCAAACTGGATGAAGCTTACCGATCTTATTTAAGGGAACTCAGTTAGCTTTTGCCAGGCAATTTCTTTATTATAATGTTCCCCTTGTAAAATTTTAAAATCTCACTAACATAGTAATAAACAAACTTGTGTGAAATGGGATTGTGTATATAAGCAAAAATACTGAACTCTGTGCGTTAGCACTTCTTAGCTCAGCTGCTGCCTTGTGTTATGTAACTAATAAATAGTAAACAGGTTACAGTGGCTTTTTATCTGCTGCAGAAAGGGTTTTTAAGGAAAATGCCACTTCATTTACAACCTTTCCAAGTTAGTGCTTCCCGACTGTTTCCAGATCATTATCAAAAAATAGCTGCCGAGCATTTGGGAACCCCCAGCTTTCTCTGCAGTGTTTAGCTCAGGGGGTGGTGGCCGAGGGGCACTCAGCGTTTCCGTCTTTCCGCAGGAGCTGGAGCGCGCGTTGCCCGGCCTGTCTGCCTGGCGGGGGGCGCCGGGAGCCTCCGCTGGGGCCCGTGCCCAGAACGTGCCCTCCAGGTGCCCGGAAGCAATCGGGACGTTCCCGCCAAGGTAAGCCGGGGGCATGACGTGCATTTCACTTCTCGTTACCCATAGGAAAGGCTAATTCATTTGCTGCCTTTGGTGCGAAATATTCAGACTCTGGGCTCTCACTGGCAGCTATATCCATTATTTATAGACCTAGGACTGTTTGGAGAAAGCAAAAAGGATGGCGATGAGAAGGCAAGTTTCATCCTTCTTTAGCCTCCTTACATTTCAAGCAGGAGGAACATCCTCTGTTTAGAAATTTCACTTCTGTGCCAAGTTTCAAAAATATCCTGGCACTTTTTTTTCTTCTTCCCCCAGTGCTGGCTTGCTTCACTCGTTCTCAGAGTATACTCCCACTGAGGAACGGGGATGGCAAGCTGCACACCTCATTTTAGCATCTGCATGTTCTTCTCTATTATTTCCTGGACATGGTGAAACTGGGTTCTTTCCAGCACTGCAGAGGATGCAGGAAGCTCAGGTCAGGTGTGAGCCAAGTTTTTCCTGCAGGTAATTCAGCAGACCATGAAGTAACTCACTCTGATAGATATTGGGAATCGTGGTTTTCCTCACGATCTTTCCTGACCGTGCAACAGGCTGCCCCACAACCCTTCCCATGGCCCAACCGGCTTGCAAGGGCCTGTCCTAAGGATAAGATTTTGCTTTTACAGACAGGACTGGACTGCATAAGCGTGATTATCTTTGGAGTCACCTCTCTTGGGGACATTGCTGAATGCATTTCCCATGCTTAGGTAACAGTTCAGCTCTGCTTTGCTGTGTGCGTAGTGTTTCAGGCAGGGGAACCCAGGGCTCTAATATCTTTATTCTCTGTTGGAAGGTGCACAACAGCTTTGGTGCTTACAGTGTCTCCATGGCAATGGGGAAGAGGCTGTGGCACAGCTCGTGTCCTTCATGGACACAGGCAAGCGCCCAGCCTTCCCTGTGCACCTGCCTGCAGCAAAGCCTCATCAAGGGCAATCCCTGTGCTGCGTGACGCGCACCGGCAAGGCAGGCAGGGAAGGGTGACGGCTCTGCTTGGATTGCCTGGGCATCCTGGGCATGCTCAGGGGCCAGGGCACAGCTAGGAGGAATGGGGAGCTCTTTGCCTCCAAAGCGTGTTTCCAGTCAGGACTAGGTTCGCGGCGTGAGAACTGAACCACTTGCAGAGCCACAGGTTTAGTAGGCAACATTGCGAACAATATTAATTCGTGCTCTCAAAGGCAGATTTGCAGAATGGCCAAGCATTTAATTAGCTTGCAAAAAGCACTAGTTTTACCCTCCAGTGCTTGTATCTGCTGTTGAAACATTGCGAATTCCTGCACTGTAGAAAAGACTAATTAGGTGCAACCTAGGAAATCTATCTCAAGGAAAAATCATGCAGATTTCTTTTAGGAAGGAAATAGAGAGTTTGGTCTCAGAGCCTTAGATGCAGCTGTCTCTGGACAGATAATGAAATATCATTGGTTCCCTTTGATTTCTGAAGGAAACATAGTGAAAGAAACATGAACTTTGAGATAAGAACCGGAGTAGAGTGTGCATGAATAAAACAGCAACCACAATGAGCTCCCTCTGTCCACTTCAAAATTTAGCATTTTGAGATCAGCAGGCTCTAAAACATGGTTCACTATCCTATTTGTTCCTGATTAACACCAGGGTGCCTCTTAGGAGGCCTGTTTTCTGCAAGTGTTAAAGCCCTTAAGTATCAGCACCTCGATTTATCATGCTAATAGCTGCAAAAGCACCGTGATAACCTCCCAGCTCTTGCCATGTCTTTGTTTGATTATATTACAACGAACTGGAGCCCAATTTACTCCCAAATGGAAAACTCAAGCAGGGAGTAAACTCACACTAACTCGTGGCCCTGACCCCACACACAGGGGTGCTGATCCCGGCCTGGTGCCGGCTCCTGGGCTGGGTGCCCATGCAGGGGTGCTGATCCCAGCCTGGTGCAAGATCCCCGGCCGGGTGTCCATGCAGGGGTGCTGATCCCAGCCTGGTGCAGGATCCCGGGCCAGGTGCCCACGCAGGGGTGCTGATCCCGGCCTGGTGCAGGATCCCAGGCCGGGTGTCCACCGCAGGCTGCCTGGGCACAGCGCTCTGCCTGTTTCCTGCGTGCCCCACGTTGGGCCATGGCAAAGGGACATACTCCGCCTGGCAGTGCACAGAACTCATCTGCCGCTTCCACACACCCTGAGTTTTGCGTTCTTTGACTCCATCTTTGCTGGGGTACTGGTACCATTGCTAGTGTCCCCAGCATGCAGCCCCCAGGCTCCTCGGGCCCGGGGAAGGGGCGGCCGGCGCTGCTGCAGGACGGGGCCTGCACCAGCTGCTCTGTGGACCGGAGGCGCGTGGGGCCGCGGGCTCCCTTCTGGCCTGGACGCAGTTAGGAACGAGGTGGTGGCTTCTTGGGAGGGCAGTGGTTTCCTTGGACTGCTGTAGCTCTGCCATTAGCTGCACTAAGGTTTAAAAGTCTAAACACCTCTGAACTGTACAGAGTTTATCTTGAAATCTGTTCTAGTCGGTGTGGTGCCACGAGAAACAGGCCAAAGTTAATTTGTCTAAATATGGATTAAAAACTACTCAGATATGAAAAGCTTTTGGACGCGGGCCCTGCTGAGGAGAGCGATCCAAATTCCGGGTGACATAACAAGGGAGCTGGCGCCCGGGCGCGCGGCGGGAGCCGCGGAGCGGGCAGGGTGGGAGCAGCACCGCACAGCAGCGCTGCCTGGGCAGGGGGGCTGCTTGGGTTCGTGTTTGTCACCTGAGCCGTTGGCCAACAACTCATGACCTGCAGCTGAAACGGTGAAGGAAAAGTTTAGCGGGATCCCAGGGAATGGGAGAGTAGCGCTGGAGGAGACGTTGAAGGGTAACTAGCTGTACACTGCCTGTGGACCGGTCAGAAGAAAGGCAGAATTTGTCTTATTCTCTGCTCAGCTATATCTGCCCTGTGAATGCAGGACTTAGAGGGGTTTATCGCTCAGAACATTTAGAATATCAAATGCCATCTACGTGGAAGGAAACCTTTCTGTTTTATTGAGACAACATGGATTTCTAATACTATATTTAGTGATTACTGAGTACTGCTGTAGTCTGAGTGCGTAGTGAGTATGAACAAGAATCCAAACAATCTGCACCTTTGGGAGATGAAAATTGCCTGCTTATTCCAGCTCTTAAGGCCTGCTGAGGAGTAGCCTGGGAAGTGCCCGAACAGCCCCAGCCCTTCAAGGTGTTACTTTTTTTATGGGAAGAGCAACTTTATGTTGATCCAAAAGGTTATTGCACTTTGGGTTTGCTTTTTGGACATTTGCAGGCCTGACTGTGAACCATCCACTTGCAGCCCTGCAATAGGGTGGTAGCTGTGTCTGAATTTCACAGTGTGTTTTGCCATTCGTGAGGGTGTCAGAAAAGATGGGGATGGAGCAGACAGTTTTGCTTGGTTAGACTGGAAGTGAATCTGGAAAGGGGGGTTTTAGTGCATGTGGTTTGCTTGCTTGAGTTGTCCTGGCATCTCTGATGCATCATTAGCCCCACACATTGAACACACCTGGCATTTGGTGCATAAGCAAGTTAGTCTCCTGAGGAGCGGGTTAGGGTAATGCAGAGGGTGACTGGCTTGACGTATGAGAGTCCACTTCCAATCCAAGGATTGAGAAATGTGAAGGCCTGAGATTTGCAATTTATAGAATCTAATGCTGCCTTCTGGTTTTAGCATGGAACAGAATTGGCTGAGCTTATCTTCAAACGCTTTTTCTTAGTTTTTAAAATTATGTGGTTTTATTTGAATTTTATGTGAGTGGTGTTATGCATAATTCAATAATTCACATGTTCTGGTCTGGTTTTTAAGCAGCTCACTGCTCATGCAAATTGATCCTCCCCTTGAAGTTTTGTTGGAGCTCTGTTATGATAATTAATATTCAGATTTTTCTTATGTCCATAAGCTTCAAATATTATTGAGAGATCTGCCAGAGCCATATTGCAGGGAGGGTGAGAGGTCAGGCCTTTCGTACTGTACAGACAGAATCCGTCTTTGAGGAGCAGCAAAAGGGAAATGACGTTTTCATTATTTTACGTGATGTAAACTACTGAAAAGGAGGGTAGCCTGCAATTACTCAAAATTTCAGCTGAAGCTCTGACTGCCTTGTTCCATGCAGAAAACCGTGAGGCACAGAGGGAAAACCAAAGCTGTGGACATCTCTGATGGCTTCAAAGTGACATGTAGGAGAAAACGTGGGAATTACTCCCTCCAAGGATTCCCAGTTCCCTGAAGGAATCCTGGGACCTTTGTGAGTTCCAGCTCTTCAGAGCTGCTGGTTGCCCAGATGGGGACACGTGGACGTGCTGCTCCCTGCCTCTGCTATGCAGCCGAGGGGTTGGTAGGAAAGGGCACGTTGTGGTAGCGTGGACAACCCCGGCAGAAACTTAGTATGTGATTTCCCCAAAATGTTCAATCGGATAAATGGAAAAATGCAGTCCTGCAGACTATACAGGTAAATGTTCCCTAAAAGTAAATTTGCAGAACTGAAGCTAAACAGAAAGTTGAAGATTGTGAGTCTAAAGCACTGTTAATTTCAAATTTGGAAAAATGTATTCTTTATGGCTTTTATGAAGGAAAACTCTTGTTCCTGACTTAAAGCATGCAAGATAAATTGTGCTTAAATGTACGTTTGAGCTTTTTCTTGGCTTTAACCCTATTAACTCATGACACTGAGAGCCCCTCGTGCTCTTGTAGAGCTCTGTGTATATCCACATGTGCCACAGAGTGATCCTGGATTATCATGTCCTCTTTTCCAGGATTTCACTCATAGTATAGGTATATTAGAAGGAATTCTAGCAAAATCACTGTAGCTTTGCTAGCAAAATAAAATACAGCTGTAACTGCCATAAAAAAGTTATTTTTTCAATAAAGTACTTCATCGCATAGCTTGTAATTTATGTGCAGAGATGGTGAAACATTTGAAATATTTACAGAAAAAAAGAATCACCTGTTGAGTGAAAAATCTCGTTTTATTTTGTAGAATAGAGCAGAGCACCTGCATTTCACTAAAAGAAGCAACTGAGCAACTGCACAACAAAGATGAGGTAAGCTTGACTGAAACTTGAAATACAGCATTGCAGATTTTGGATTAGATGGTTTTGTTTAGTTCTCAGCTCTTGGAATAATATAATGACATGCCAATCTTAGGCTAGCTTTTTACGGCGGGCCGGCGGAGGGGGATCGGGGCGCAGCGTGGCGGGAGCCGCGCCGGGCAGCGCTCTGGAAGGCCAAACGGGCCGCGCGGCGGGTTCACCCCCTGCCCGTGCGGCGTCTCGGTGACCAGGCTGCGGCTGGGCCGGGGAGCGGGCCCGTTCCTGTCACTGCATGGGAAACACAGCTTGCTTTCATAAGGAGCCAGAGAACAGCTAAGTCTATTAATAGCTGTCCGACTTGCAGCAGGAGAGAGCCACAGTGTGTCCTTTTAAAGGAATCTAGACTTAATCTTCTCCTTACAATGAATTATTTCCTGTGCATTTGTGTCATTGTTGCCCAGCTCACTATTAAATATCACAGTGCTAAATAACGAAGCACTTCCCATGACCACTACACTGGGATGGGCTCAGTCCTGGTCTGGCCAATTAAGGCCCTGGGGGACATCATTAAATCTTCATTTCCTCTGAGAAGCCCTATTGCAGGTGTCACCAACACTGCTTCAGTTACAGGATTAGCTACCTTCTGGTGCTATTTGTTTGTTTATTTTTTTGTAAAATGTTAGATTATATTGCATTTCAGGTCAACTGCAAACCCAAATAGACATGTGTCATAGGGCAAAAAATTCCCTTTGCGGGTTAGCTAGCGCTGGGCCTCCTCCCTGCGCAGTGGTGCCATTGTGCAAACCTGGCACGGGTCGTGTTCTGCCTTGCTCTTGCTTGTTTGTTCCCGTAAAGAAACCTCTGAATTGAAAATGTCACATGCCTCAAGACACAAATATTGCCCACGCAGATGCCACAGAGATTTATTTACCTTCACGTGGAGTACGTCTGTCTTATTTTTAATGTGAATCCTGAGATTAAAAAGTACGGTTTTATATGTTGCCTTTACATGTTACTATTCTAATACTGCTTTTAATTTCCTTATTATGGGGAAAAACTGAACGACTTGACATTTGCTCAGTTTCCTTGCTGCATGCATTACTTTGAAGGCCACTAAACTCTAAAAGCCTGGGTTGCCCTGTTCTGTGCCCCAGGTGTTCTCTGAGTGCGGAGGTGCATCCATGAAGCGGGTCCCACGGGCTGGTGCCCGGCCCGGGGCAGGCGCTGGCGCCCCGGTGGCCGCAGGGCGGCCTCTTCCCTCTCCCTCCTTCTTCAGCTCCTAAACGTTCCAGATCTTCGCCGGCCCCGAGGCTCAGAGGCCCCGGCGGGCGTCCCCTGCGGCCGCAGCTCCCCATGCGCTCGCGGGGCTGATCCTGCAGGGCTGCACAGGCCAGGAGGCACCTACCGCCCGCACCCCCTGGGAAAAACAATTCTAAGTTATTTTAGGGGATTTCCACGCATTGCTGCAGCATTTTGGCAATAAATTAGCTCCCTTTATTCATTTAGTCTCAGTGTTTCCAGAGGGATTTAGCAGGGTGAGTGCAAATATGTGGTATTTATTTCTAGACAGTAAGGAGTTATCTCTGATCTCACTAATGTGTTGGCCTAAGGCCCAAACTCTTCATTTTCAATAATTACGTGTTGGAAAGAGGGATGGTCAGTGGGGCACCAGGTTATTGGATTGTAAAGAAGGTTTCTTCATTACAGGCTGAGCTTTCTCTGTGAATAGCAATCCATTGCGCTCTGTTTTCTTCAGCAGACAAAAGTATCCTTCTTTAATGTCTATGCTTTCTTAAGACTTGCAAAATACTGTTCTTAACATCTGATGATATGGTTATTTTTCTGAGGATACTTAATGATCAGTCTTTATTCAGGTATTCTTATGCAGGTTCTTATTTTAACTTGAGGTAAGGTAAATATTACTGAATTATATGCGTCCTTCCAAAACATTTACTGCTTTCATATGTGGGTCTGTTCTTTCTTTCGTTTGTGTTGGTCTAGAAGTTACTGCCTCCAAACCAGCAGCATTAGGCGGGGGGAAAGCTGGGGTGAGCAGCGGGGTGATTGAGACCATTGGCTGCAGCTGACTAGCTGGTGCCACAGCCTCAGTTTTCCCGCGTGTTGCTGGTTTTCCTCGTGAGAGCTTGTGGAGGCTCTGGGCAGCAGCCGGCCCAACCTGGCGTTCCCCTCTCTGCTTGCTGGGCCGTGCCGGCCCGCGCGCCGCCGCGGGGCGCTCGGCTGGGTGCCGGGAGCAGCGCGAGGCTGCGGCTGCGCTCCGGCCTCACCGTCTCCCTGGTAACTCCACACGGAGCCAAGTCACACGTTCTTCTTCCTCCTGCATCAAATCACTGTCAAAGGCACGTTCACAAAATTATATAATGTATTGCTATTATTATTGTTGGATGATTTTTTTTTTTAGTATTTGGGAGTGACTGGAAATTTGCCACCCACCCACCTTCACAGACGAGCGAAAAATATCAGTGGAAAATATCTTAACTGGATATGAACCAAGTGGTGAATTGCAGCCTAAGTGTTGCTGCAAAACAGTGCTTCACAGTGTAGTCTGGGGGAAGGCTTTCATATTGAGCTCGCCACAAATAGTAATGTGTCATGACAAAACACTGATGCAAAGGGAGTTTATTTTCTTGATACAGGATATTTTTTTGTGAAACGCTTGGGAGTGTCAGTCCGTGAAGGTCCGGTACTTTTGTCAGTTATTGACCCATGCTCTCCTTGCTGGCAGGAGGAGACTCCCTTGCAGAGTGTGGAAATGCCTTTGCCACCAGCAAGGCTCAGGCCAAGGTCTGTGCTGGTGCCAGAGCCCTCCCTGGCCCTTCACTTTATATAGTCGCTGTTCACCAACCGGTGTCAGCGACAGCTCCACGCGGCGCCGGGTCCCGCGGAGACGGGAGGCCGGAGTGAACAAGGCCTCCCACGGCCTGAAAGCCCTTCCCCGGGGAATGCCTTCCCAAGGGTGCCCGGTTCAGCCGGCACATGCGGTGTGCAAGGGAAAAGCCACTGCCTCTTGAAAGCTGTGGGAAATGGGAGCGTTTCCAGCAGGCTACCTCCAGTCTGAGCAAGCGCTGTGGAAAAACCACTGCTTCTGGGGAAAAGGAAAGAAAAAGGAAGAAGATTTGTTGGGTTTTGATGTAGGTTGACAAGAATTAAGTAGAAGATAAAAGAAGACTCTGAGAATGCCTTGTAAAAGAGGTGCAAGCTGATAGTAAAAAGTCCATTAAGTAAAAGAAGTCCGCATCAAAAGCAGGATGCCAGGTAGGTATCACTGGCACTGCTGGCTGAAGCCGAGCCACTGAGCCAGGCCACAAATACCAGGTTTTAAGTAGTCACTTTTTAGGTATTTGCACCAGCCTACTTACACACAGGGCACTCTGCTAGAAAGGGTAGAGAAGAAATGTTTTACTGAATACTTAATCATCATGGGAATAGTAAATGTGTCTTCTGCCTCAGATCATAGAAACCAGCTTTGTATCATACCAATTTTTAAAGAATAATGTTACATTAGGCACTTAATTTGAATCAGTGCTTGATCTTGCAATTACTTCTTTCCTGGTATTATGGTTATGCATGAGATATCAAGATGCATCTTGACAGTAGATGATAGGAACTTAATTCTCAAATACTTGTGCAACACCCAAGCCATTTCTTTGCTTAGGAACCCCCAATTCTGAATAGAAGGGCCACAAGTCCAGCTAGCTCTAGGAGGAGGAGGAGGAGGAGGAAGGTGCTCCCTGATTTTCTTTTTGTGGGCTCTACGTTAGAGCCTGCTTGTTTGATTGTAGCATAATCTGCTTTGTGGAGATAAATCTGGATGTTGAAGCTCTTCTGACAGTACACAGTACAAACAGGGTCGCAGGCTCTAGGTATGGCATCTTTATGGCCCCAGTTAGGGCAACTTTGTGCCTTAGAAAATTCCCCAATTTTCCCTATTTTTCTCACTCTGTTTTGACTTCCTGAATTCTATAATGAGAGTGAAAGGATCATGGCTGAGAATCTTCCTTGCCCTCAGCCAAAGATTTTTTTTTTAAAGCTAAAAATACTAGCACCCTTGTGTACTTAAAATGACAGTATTACAAGAAAAATAAAGCACTGGCATATTAAACTACTCAGTTGTTTTACTGTTACACAAGGAGAATTATTCAAATAAATACATTTATTATTTTATTAAGCAAATTACTAAATTGGTCTCAGGTCTTTTATGGAGTGGAGTTTTAGTCCCTAGACTAAAAAGTTGAGGGAAAAAACACGGTGCAACTCCGATGTTTTTCAGGAAGCATTCCCTGCCGACGTACACCTTGGAGTGACTTGGCATTTTGCGTGTGTTCTCTGCGCACCAGCTGTGTGATTATTAAAGCAGCCTTCTGTGGATTTGTTTTATGTTACAAGCTGTATTTCCTTTGAGAAAGGGAACTGAATATGTGGGGTATCAGTAGTGACTCATGTCGCCTAGTCAGATGGTGATTAGGGCTTTCACAGCATTTACATCACAGCAAGATGCTTGTGTCAGATTATGCAGCTGAATATTGCAGGCAGCATGAAAGATTAAAATGAGAAATGGACCAAGCATGACAGGGTAGCTGGAAGTGATGTTGTAGATAACCAGCCTTGTCCTCATTGATTTGTCTGCAGTGAGTGACAATGATCTGTTAATTTTGCCTTTGCAGCAGCAGATAGAAATGATCTGGTTGCCCTGCAGAAGCAGCAGCCTACATAAAAGCCAGGGCTGCATACAGAAGTATCTCTAAAAAGCCAATTAACACACACTTTGCAAGAGTCCCGGGGGAGAGGTGATGTTCGCAGTAACCCTTTGCTCACTGCCCTGTTCTGCACAATAGGGTGGCGAGGGAGATTTGGGGGTTTTATGAATGGTAAATGGGGAGGGACATCTTGTCATCAGATCGTGATGTCAGCAAATGAATGAAGTACTTGCTTAGAGTATCACTTCAAGACCAGGGAAACGGACACCATTGCAGTTTGGCTTCCTAAAATAAATTGTCTTTTGCTGACGAAGTCATCTTTCCCACGTGTCAGGAATAATCCATTTAAACTGGGACTTAAATAACCGGAAGAAATGAAGAAACTCCCGGAGTAAAGCACATTTGTTCTCACGCAGCTCCTGGCAGCGCGGGAGCGGAACACCCCTCGCCGCGAGCCCATGGCTCCGTGAGCTGAGGCGCTCCCGCCCGGCTTCGTCCTCTCCCTCCAGCCCAATGTTCTGCTTTTGCCTGCAGAATTCCTTGCTGAAGCTGCAAGCCCTGGAAAGCGATCTCTGCTCTGCGTTTCTGCCAAGCCAGGAGGAAGCTCCGCAGCCGCCGGCACCCAAGGAGGCAGCCCCTGCAGCAGTGCCGAGCGGCGCGCAAGCCGATGGGGCCGGCTGTGCAGGTGGGCGCTCGTGGCCGCGCGTGCTCTCATTTGCGATTATAACATAGCTCTGCCACTGGCAGCGTGAGCTCAGATTTGCAGCCCTCTGGGAAACGGTGCAGGGCTCGTGCAAGGCACCATTTCCGGATGCAAATGCCATGTAATGTAAAAAGGGTGATAGCGGTTAATAGCACGGGAAGGAATGGCAACTGCATTCATTCCTAAGAGAGAAGCTTGCTTTTCAGACAGACCTTGAGAGTCCTGATTCCTTTAATTTCAGTTTTAGTCTGTTCTTCTGTTTAAGTAAAGTTATTCTCTTTATTTCCTATGTCTGTTATATTTGTATTGTGTGAAATCATCTGCCATATCATGTAATTCTATTTTTGTCATTTTTTTGTCAGAGCAATATCACTTCATTTCTCCTATTATTGATTTTAATTTAATGCATCAGCAGAGAGATAGTGAAGGTGAGTTTTACAGCATGTTGATTTTAATCATTCATGAATCTGTATCATTCTGCATCTGGGCAAACTGTGGTGTGTTCTCTCTCCCCGCCCCTAGTATGTATGGAAACCAGTTCTTGCAAACAGACGGCCCCGAGGCTCAGCACTATTTTTTGTCAATTCATATCCTGTAGTCACAGGGCTGGGAGAGTCGTGAGGCTCAGTGGAAGAGGAATCACGATTCGTGAAAAATAGGTCAAAAGCAATATGACTAATCCATCTCACAGGCAGGTGGCATGAATACACAAATGCTTAAATTTTAGACCATATATGGTTGACATGAAGGCAGATAGGTGTGTAATTGCAGGGTTGCAATGCACTTATCTCAGAAGCTGTTTACCTAGAATTTTCACAAGTAGCAAGTTATTTACCTTAAAAGAATCACAAATTATATTATTCTATTTAAGACACTGTAAAGTTTGAGGTTTACATTGCCCAGTTAAGGGGAGTGGTACACAGAATATAAAATAGCAAAGCTGAAGGAATGCAAAGAATGCTAAATGTCTTATTGTTTTTGCTTTTGAGTGTTTTAGTTTCAGAAAAGGAGAGATACTTTAGCAGAGCTGGGCAGATCCCTGGCTGTGGGTCCCTCCACGTGAACCTGAGGCAGAGGCAGAGCTCATGTCTGGGCCTTGCAGGCACAGGCATCTTGCAGCTCATCCCAAACCTGCCCCATCCCTTCTCCTTATGGCACGCTGTGTTTTCCCTCCTCTTCCAGTAGCCTACCAAACTATTCTGTTTTGGTAGCTTCATAATTCATTGTTAGGATGGTTCATATTAGGTTTCATTTGATTTTTTTTCTCTTTTAATTTGATGTTGTTTGACCTTAACCTGTTACTATCCCCTTCACCTGGATGCACTGACACAGGTGATCATGCTCTGTCACTCAAACTATAACCTGTGCTTTAGTGAAAGCTTGCCTAGAGCATGGACTGTAATATAGTCTTTTGTCACACTAATGCCTGTTTTGTGCCTTTTTTAAATAACTTGGTATTTTTTCATAAATTGAGCTATTCCTAAATATCTCTTTCAAATGACTACTGAAATTTTCTGATGTATTCAGTTTAGATACAGTAGTCTTGTGGGACTAGTGGCTATTCTGGCTCAAATTTAGATGAAATCCATTGATTCCCACCAAGTTTAGGACAAAATTTTTGGAGGATGTGACATATATACTACATCTCTAGTTACTAGCCTTTGTGGAATGAATCTGGATATTACCTCATGAAAGAAGTATTTATATTTGTAAAATGAGACCATTAAGAACTGCAAGGAAGATATTAAGATAGGTATTCTTAAGGGGAAAAAAAGTAAAGGACATAAATAATATTTATAGTTTTCAAGTATGAGTTCACATCAAATACATGTCTCAAGCTGTGGGCCAACTGAACTTTTATCTACAAAATATTTTAAAAGTGTTTTCAGTTAAAAATCTTAATACTGGCATTCACAGATGTAGCATGAGATGGGAGGTGAACATATTTTTCTTCAAATACAACAGACTAGAAGTGTTGTTGTTTTCTTAAACTGAAGAGTATCACACGCAGGAATACAGACCTGTACCGGTTTGGATATATGTTCAGCGTCCCCATCATGAAGCAAACTGCCTGCTGCAGGACCGCACATCCTGGCTTTACAAGAGCCTTTGATGAGCTCTCGTTGGTGCTTAGCTGGAGCAGGTGCAGACTAGGGGTTTGGCTAAGGGAGGGCTCCTGGTTTTGGTGAAAGTTGAAGCTGAAGTGGTATCGGACACACAAACACAGGCAGGTGTTGGGCTGCTCCCAGGCTAATGCCTAGTGTCTCGATTAGGATCTGCACAGGGCCAGAACTGGGATGGTGGCCCTGAGCGGTGATTAGAAGTGGGGCTCGTTATAACTTCGTCGTCATGAAATGTCACATAAAAGACTCTGAGTTAGACAGACTGAATGATTTGCTGGCTGCTTCTGGACAATACCTAGTAATTAATGCACCTGTGTTAGGGCTGGGACCCTTCCTGGAGGCCTCATTTCTCCCAGTTGCCTTCCTGTGTCTCCCTGTGAGGATTTCAATCTCATATACAGTTTAGAAGTTTGGGAATTGGTCTAGTATCTCAGAGAAGAGATTTTGACCTACAAAATAGAAATTATTTAGAGGAAAGATGCTAGGTCAGAATTAATAATCCAGTACCTTGTCTGACTGTGAAAACACTAACGTAATTAAAATTGATGGAAGTATCAATGTGAATGAACTATTCAGAGATACAAAAGCCATGTGTTAGATAATGGATGTCTTAGACTAACCTATCTGGCAATCTACAATGAATTTTTGTTGTCTGCAGAGCAAAAACAGGTGGGTAGTATGTGATAAGACAACATTTCAGGCCATCGTAATTATTATTTTTGAAGTCGATAGTTGCTTTCGATGAAGCATCCTATTTACAGATGTTTGTTCTCACTGTTTCAAGCTACCAACAAGAACTGCTAGCTTCAATGTGAATTGTGCAGAAGTTAAATAAAATACAGCAAAAAGTTCCATTACAATCTTCAGGGAGATAGCCACTTATCATGGAATACCATATCCCATATAGAAAGGTGAAAAGGAAAAGTGACTGCAAAAGAGCTTTTCTAGATCTGCCTCCCCTTTTGAGACTAAACCATGTATAGTAGTTTGCTGGGCAGTTTTAGACTTCTCTCCAGTAAAAATAAATCTGTGAAAGATATTAGACTGGATGATATACAACAAACATAATATTGACAGGAAATGACCTTTATACTGCCTGGAAATACAGAATAATTGATATGAATTCATAGTCTGCATAGTCTGCATGGACATGTGGTTTTAGAGGGGAAAAAATTAACGTAGCTGATGGAAAAGTTAAGATACTATGAAAACAGATGTGTAGGAATCTGAGAGAGCATTCTTCCCTTAAACATACATTTTCTGTTTGTTGAGAAAAGCTTTCTATGATAGTGTGGGATTTCTTCCTAAAACCGCAATCTACTTTAAAGCACAACTGTCTGATGATGAAAATAAGTCATCCTGACCTGTTTCACTCCCAGAGGGTGAGGCTGAAGATTCTTCCTGTTAGAGGACCCAGGCACGGCGAGGGCAGGATGAACCCTTCGTATGCTCAGGGGACAGGCTTAGTGGTGTGCCGTTATTTTCCGTGTTACTCATGAATGGAATTAGAGTGATGGGATTCACCACCTCTTAAGTTTTTAGAACAGAAAAAATCATCCTGACTTCTAGCTTGACCATCTCTTTAAAACAAATTTTGTTTTTTAATGGACTGTAGGAGTTGTGACTAGGTTTCCATTTATTTTTAGAGACAATACTGACATAGTACCATAATCAGCAGACTTTGAGACAGCACACTGCCTTGAATAAAGACTTTGAATGTCATATATTTTTAAACCTGTGTTCTTTATACCTTTCAATGTGTTGCTTCAAAACTTGAACGCATTCTGCAGGATACTGCAAACAACACTGGAGATTCTCAGCCTCAGGACATACTACACCTTTGTTCTACCTTTTTCCTGATCAAAGGATCAAATGCTAAGTCAGGGAATGAAACTTGTTTTCTATATTCATCTTCTGTTTTGGGAATGTGGCTTTCAAAACCAAATAAATCTATGCAAACCTAACTATGCTTCTGTTCTGGGAAACCCTCCATATTTAAATAATACTTCATAGTTTACAAAAACACCCAACCACCCACACTTACTTTCTACCATGGAATTGAAGATACTCAATGTTAAGCCATTAACTTTTCTCTTTTCTGACCCTCAGTATTATGTTCAACCTGCATGTAATACCTTGCTAAACAGCTTGCTCTATTTGCTTTGAGTACTTTTGTATGCAGAGATTTGTTTTTATCTCTGTAGTTGAGTGTCCTGTGACTGACCTTCCATCCATGTAGGTTTGTCTGTTTATTGTAGAGCCTGTACCAGCCCCCAGAGACTGGCAGAACGACCCGGACAGCAGCCCTCAAGAGCATCGCTCCATAGCGACCAGTCGACTACTGTATCATATCACTGATGGAGACAATCCCCTTCTGTCACCACGCTGCTCTATTTTTAGCCAAAGCCAGAGGTTTAATCTAGACACAGAGTCTGCCCCTTCTCCACCAAGTGCTCAGCCTTTCATGATGTAAGAAAATATATTTTAATTCTTACATACTTCTAAATTATTTGTGTACAATCTAGGACCTTTGACTCTTTATGTTTTACAGGTACTATTATGTTATAAATAAGAAACTTTCATATTATAACATATTTTGACACGATTAATTTGCCATTACACCTAGCATTTTTCAAAAACCACACAGTTTGAGGTTTAATTATAGTTATTAATGACAGTTTTAATGGTTAGTAGTTACACTGATGAGTGAATATAAGATAGAGAGGGGTGTTAGAGGTCTGATATTAAAATGTTCAGTTGTAATGAAATTATCGCTTGAGTTATTCATAGATATAAAAGCACCACAAAACATAGGAACAGTTCATATATGTGATCACCTAAAAACCAAAGTGTGGGCTTCAGTCAGGAACCACACTTTCTTAAAAGCTTATATGCATATCTCAATCCATGGAATGCAAATAATAATCAGACCTATTGATTTGTAACTAAATGGTCTTCAAAACGGTAATGTTTATTACCAATGATAAAAAATTATCTGGTGCATACTCTACAAAAACATTATTAGGGTCCAGGAAATGGGAGATTAGTGAAGTTGGATACTACTGTTAAATGCAAATACTAGATTAGCCTGTGACCCATGCAATTAAACTACTGAAAGCTTTTCAGAGCTTCTATAATTAATTAAAAAACTAAGAAAGGAAGGAAGAAAGGAAGGAAGGAAAACAAAGAAATAAACCAGGCAACCAACCCATAACAGGTAGAACCTAAAGGCACCTTCCAGGGAAAGCAGTTACTTTATGGAAGCTTTTCAGAGCTTCTATAATTAATTAAAAAACTAAGAAAGGAAGGAAGAAAGGAAGGAAGGAAAACAAAGAAATAAACCAGGCAACCAACCCATAACAGGTAGAACCTAAAGGCACCTTCCAGGGAAAGCAGTTACTTTATGGTTACTTTAAAAAAAAATCAGCACTCTCAAACCTTTTAAGAACACAGCTGCAAATTCTGAAGTGCGGAGAAAATGCAAGTGTGCCTGAAAAACAGACACGGATTTGTACAGCCAGTCCTTCGGTAAAGATGTTACGCTTTTGGCTTTTGCAGGCCAAGAAGTACTTCTAGATGTAACTGTGAAGATTGCAAAGAACCACAGACAGTAGCACAACTTACCAAGCATCTTCAGAGCCTCAAGAGAAAAATTAGGAAGTATGAAGAAAAGTTTGAACAAGAAAGAAAATATCTGGTAAGATAATATATCATTGAAAAGATAAGGGGAAATACTACAGAATCATGGCAAGAACCTGAATGTATTTAAACTTCTGCAAAATCATAGGAAAGGGGATAAAATGATATAGGAAAACTATCAATGACAGAATATGTTTTATCAGCTTTTAGTGTGTTTAATAGTTCTGAGGCTGTAATTTGCATCTTCTTGTGATCATAATCATCTCCATCTCTAGATGTGTCAGATGTTTTTATCAGTTAAACGCAGCTAACGAGTTTGTGAACCAAAATGATTCAAACTATGAAAAGCTGCTTGTTTACTTTGCAAAGTCATTTGCTTGGAATGTTTGTTCTGCTGTGCAAGTTCTTTTGTTCAGATGGAGTCCCATAAAGCTCCAGGCCATAGGGCTCCACTGAAGCTGGGCTTTCAAAACAGAAATGAGGGTTTTGAGGTGTTACTGGGGCAAGGTCCTCATATTTGAGACCAACTGTATGCTCTGTGCAACTGGTGCAAGATATAGGTGCTCATAATCAAGGTGGTCTATGTAGAGTGAATTGTGCAGTATAAAAGTATCAAAATGTTGACAATGCTAAGGATGTGTGTAATATGCAACAGGGAATTTGTGATATCTTATGAATACACTAAAATGAAAATGGAGCAAATTGCATACTACCTTGTAATCTCATCAGTGATTGCAAACCTGACCACGCTTCTGTGACTTGTACTGCCCTATGGTCATGATACACTCTTAGGAACAAAATTTCATACTTAATCATCATCCTGTGACCAGAAAACAAATTGTTTCAGAGGTTCAATTTTGCAAAATAGTCTTGTCATTTCTAATATTTGAGTTCTTCTATTTGAATTAAAATTCTCATGAATGAGACAAAGGATCTGGAGTGGAAACACTAAATGCTCTTTGGTAGCACCACGTAGCAATTGCGTAGCTGCTGTTTAAATAGGTGTCTACTGGTCTCATCTATTTTTGTAATTACCAGGGCAAGAAGAGTGTCTCTTCATTCACTGTGACTGTGCTGCCTTTGCTCTGTTACGTATTTAAAATACATATGCTGCTTTAATGAGGGGACTGTCTTACGGCTTCTTGCTCCCCCTTGAAGGAATTAAAAGCCTGATCCTGTAGAGTTAAGTGTGTAGTAAAGTCTGCCTACCCTTGAATGAACTTAAGTCTCTCAATCTGGTGTGTACAAGAAAAGTAATAGTGTGATCATCAATTCCTTTTTCTTCACGTTCAGCCTTCACATGGTGACAAGACCTCCAATCCCGAAGTCTTGAAATGGATGAATGATCTGGCTAAAGGTCGCAAGCAGCTCAAAGGTACCTAGTAGCATGTGTGTCATTTTATTGCTCCGTGGGAACATCCATAATGTAGGTATAGATACTTGAAATCAGTATAAATGTACTTGGAATATTTTAGAGTTTGTTTTCCATTCTTGGTTCTCTGCTTTGTTTTTACAAGTGCACAGTGTTATCTTTTTAATGACAGCAGAGACATGAAATGCTATGACTTGATTCCCAGCAGTGGGGACTGAAATAAGGCAGTGCAACTCTTGTAATAAGGAAAAGGGAAAACACACATCTTCTTCCCCTCATAAATATTAACACTCACACGGAGTAACTTTCAGTGTTATTTTTCTAAGTGTCTGTATGCTGCTCCATGGTCAGTAGAATAACTATAAGATACTTAACTACAAATTAAAGGCTTCCTTGCGATATAGTGCAAATGTAGTAACAAAAGGGTTTTTAGCACCTTTTTAGAGTTATGAAACTCTAGAGACTTTTAAAAATTTATCATAAAAATGGATTTTCCTTCATATTCGATTTGGTCTTGAGGGTCAAATTTTGCCCTTGCCTCGCTTGCACACAGTTCCATTAACATCTGTGGGCATATCACATGTTTGCCCCGGGGGAGCATGTAGCCGGGGCAGATTGATTTTTTAGGGCTATTTATATAAATTATCTGTGTTTTTTTTTTTTTTTTCTTGTAAGTAGATCCTTTCTACTAGTTAAATCACAGTATTATGCTTTATCTCTCTTTAGATATAGTTAAGAATGTAGAGATAGGGGATGTGATTAGGGTGAATAAAGGAATTAGAAACTCATCTTTCAGTGAATTTCTTTTAGAAAACCCTCCTTTAAATACTAGGCTGCATCATTACTATTTTTTTTTCCCATGAACCTTGTGTTATAAATCCAGGAAGGGCAAATGAGAGGACATGGCCCAGCTACATATGTAATGTAATGTTCTGAAAATTGTAACTCCACCTTCAGCATAACTCTGGTAATCCAGTTGATTTAGTTTTCATAAATCAAATTCACCTTCATACCCAGAGCCCAGGTGAGCTGCTGACTGGGAAGCTGGGACACACGGGGGCACATGGGGACTCCTGTGTCTTATGCAGGGTTGTGCAGGTGCTGCTCTGCCAGGGGAATTGTTTAAAGCGAGAGGCTGGTTCTCCATGTCAGAGCCAGCTCCATGCAGAGGGAGCCTGGCCGAGGTGGCAAAGTGGCCCGTGGGAAGGGGGTTACGGTGCAGCTCGTGCTAGGGAAGAGCAGAGCTGGGCCCAGGGGTGGCAGCCAGCAAGGCCTGTCACTGCTGGTGCTGGCTGCTCACCTTCCTAAGCAGCTGTGGTGTGGTGGTAATTCCATGCAAGAAGTGGTAATTCCATGCAAGAAGTGTGCATGCTTTTTTCTAGACTGCCAGAGGAAGCTTTTTTTTTTTTTTCAGATATTTCTCACGTTTTCTTGCCATCAACTTATCTTTCAGAGTTGAAACTCAGAATGTCAGAAGAGCAAAACTGCACATCTACAGCACCCCAAAGAAACAACCGTTGTGAAAGCACCGGGCTCTCTAAAGAGACTGGGACACAGGAGGCAGCGAGCACGGAGCCGGCTCCCTCAGTAGAAGAAACCATGGACAGTGTGCTGAGACGATTACAGGAGAGAAGACAGCACTTCAACCTTCCCGAGACCCTGAAGGTATGGCCAGCTGGCGAGCGTGCCTCTCGTGATCCGTTCTTTAGGCTCCAAGGCAGCAAGTGCTCGGAGCGCAGCCGTCCCAGCGCGTGTGTGGGGCTGTGCACGCCGTGCACCTCCTGGCACCGCGCTGCCGGGCGCTCGCTCTCACACACTCCCGTGAAGGTTTCTGAAGTGCTGTTTTTGTGAGGAGCTGCACAGAAAAGAAGGAGATGTTTTCAAACAGTGCTGAGCGCGTTTTGCTCAGAGATGCGTATTTGCAAGGAGCTGCTGAAGCCTCCTAATTGAGACGAAGTGCATGCAAAGTACGTACTCCAGCTTAGCAAAGATGGTGACAGAGCAAAACTGTCCTATTTTGAGTCTGTAGAAACTATGTGGCTAAAAATTGCAAAGCTATTTTGACAACAGAGGCCTTCTCTTGCTAGATGAATCTGAAGGCCTCTGATAAGGTAACATGGAGGGCACAACCACCTGGCTGTTCTGTCCTTCTGATCCTGCGCATTTATTGCACTGATGCTGCTCCTGCTCTTCCACATTTGCAATTACTGTTCTACATAAAGGGGAGGATTTCATGTCCCATGAAACGTGCTTGTTTGTCTGGGCAATTTATTTTGATTTTCAGACTAACATATATTGCTGACACATTTTGGGATCTGTCTGAAGCTGTTGTTCTGTACTATGTACCTAATCTGCTTGGTAAAACTGAATCTGAAGTGGAACAGAGGCTTGGAAAGGAAGAGTAGGAAGGCAAATTGGTCTATTTCAAGATGATATATTTTAGTAGGCCCTTAAGGTGTTTAACATTAAAATGATTGATTTTTAATTGTGAGTCTGGACTTCTGGAGGAGAGTGAAGGTTACAACCCCAACAGGGAATGAATCAAGGAGTCTGCTGGTTAGAACAAAGATCCAAGGCTTTTCATTTCAGCTATACATATCCTTGGTGCGGATGGTAATTCTGAACTGGACCATTTCATTTTGTATATAACTTTTAAATCCTATGCCTGAATTTGAGCTAGATTGATAATCAACTAAATGGTAACTAAATCTTTCTTCAAGCTGTAGTTATTTTGGAAGCAGATATGAGGGGCCTGAACCTGAGCTGTGCAAAGCCCTAAGACCCCATGGTTGCACAAATGAGGGATTAATTGTCATTAAGAAAGGTGCAGAGCGCAGGCTCCGAGTGACTTGTGAAACTGGGTTTGGAAAACAGTAGAATGGTTGTTAGGAACCAGCAATATGGGTCATACATCACAGAACTCTCATTTTTACATTTTTAGTAGGCATTTAAGGGCCATTTTGTTCATCAGATATTCAACAGTCACACTAAAAAAAAAAAAAAGTGGATTGGGGAGGATAAATGGAAGGGGTCTAAAATCCTTAATGTATCAGAATCTGTGTCTGAAGAGGACCAACACCCCAAGTATGAAATAGCAGAGTATGGTTTTCAGAACAAAATGCCCCTCCCTCCCAAAAGCTTACGAGTGCAGTTATTCAATGAGAAAAATCCAGAGAAAATTGGAATTGGCTTGTGAATGATTCAGCAACCCCGCAATGGACACCCACTTATTGCTCTCAGTGTCATTAGCACCTTGTAGGTCTATGGGAGCTGGTGACTCATTTGAGTCACCTCAGATAGTGCTGTTTAGCTGCAAGGATGCAGCACAAAACCTTGGGAATGTGAATGGAGAAGATGGGGAACTAAAAGACAAATAAACACAGCATGGCTTCTATCTCTTTTTAAAAAGCCCTCCTGCTATTTAAACTACTCTGAATGTTTAGTGGCTGGGGATGTTATGGGTGCCTTGGTCACATGAGGGGGAGCAGAGGTCCCCAACACGTGTGCAGGGTGAGGCCCTTTCCAAGGCCCTGGTTTCCGACACGTAAAGCCAGCAGCTAACGGGCAGGTCTAACCATTGAGTGAATTGTCCTGTGATGAAGACAACAGTGTGTGATACTGTGTGTGTCCTTGTCCCAAGTTATGAATACCAAACTACTACTTTAGATTTATGTGCATTCCTTTTTTTTTGTTATACACAGCAAACATTTGTCGTATGTTTAGTTTGAAGTTTTGCAGCTTGTCTCCCGAGGCTTTTTGTGGTTGCTTTCAGTTATCTGTCCTCCAGTTATTGACCCATTTTAGTCCATCCTTTCCTTGGCTACGAAGCAGTGTTTTTATTTAATTAGCATTGAATTTTGTGTTGTTATGTGCAGCCTACAGTCCTAAGATGTCCTAGTCACTTCTGTGGCTTGTGTTTCCAGCTGCCACCTCTGATTTGGAAATTGTCAGCAACGTTGAGCCCAGCTGAATACAAGCCTGCCTTGAGATTGCTAATGAAAAGAGCTAATAAAACAGGCCCAAGTGTTTAGCCCTCTTGAGATTGTTTCTCATGTTTAAAATCAATATTAATGATCACTCTCTGTTTACTGCTAGCCACTCAGTTGCTTCAGACTTAATAGTTTTGAAATAATTATTCTTGTTTTAATAGCAGAGCTAGCAGCAGATAGAGCAGCTAACTGTTTTGTAGCATGCCTGAATTCTAGATAGCAGCTCCTCTCTTAACGTAAATGACATGGAGCATGGATTTTTGGAGCAATTAACTCATGCAAACATTTAGGACAATGTTATTAGCGTTTTTGTGATGCTTTTGTGCGTAGGCAGCCAACAAAAAGGGTTCTGCTCCTGGCGAAGTTAATAGCAGGGCTCCCCTTTGATTGTAGAGAGAGGTGATTGATACGATGGCCGTCGCTGGCCAAGAGAAATCTCTTTCTTTTTGGATGAACAATGAAAAAGCTGTGCTCTGCTGTGTCTGAATTTCTGCAAGTTTTTGAGTATTGTGTCCAGAAAGATTGTTCTTTTCATTTGCAACAACAAAATCATATTTAATGATTACACAATGGGGAATGCGATGATCTACCAGTTGATCTGTCAAATATGTTAATAACATACAACTGCTATGAATAGATTTCTCATTGAGAGGGAATGAGAAAAGCATTTTAGTGTGAATGCCAAGCCCCATTGACCTCCACGTGGGCAGAAACAGAATTTCAGTATTAATATTTATTTGTGGAGAACAGATTATTAAACAGACACCTCTCTGTACTCCTGTCATGAAATCCTGACTCACAATCTTACAAATAACTTTTTAAAATAAGATATGGGAAAAAAGCAAATGACTTCGGAAAAAATCAATCTTCAGAAATATCTACTATATTTTGAGAGTATTCATGGACGACCTATAAGTATATCATGGAAAGATAGATAAATTTAAATTACATAATTTCTCTAAAATTAGATTTGACATCATATATTAAATATATTTAGATGGATTTTGTATGATTAACATGTTGGCTATTTCAAAATAGTCTTCACATATTAATGTTATTGCTTGATACTCATGAATTTGGATTATATTTTAAAAAATAAAGTACAAAGACAAGTTTCTATTGGACCCTTATCACTCTCTATGCAGAGTGCAGAGCTGCAAGGTTTGATGATAAAGGTCTAAGGACTATATATCTACAGTAGACTGGTTTCATACCTGTTGAAGCTTTTGGTTTCTTATAACTTCATTCTACAACATCCAAAAGGTTAAAATATTCAACAGCTCTGCACTCTGCATAGAGGTTTACAGGGCACAACCCGAGATTTGAAATACAAAATGAAATGACTTATCTATGTTTTCCTTTATTTCGTATCAGCACTTAAGGACTGTTAATTAAACTCCTTTCAAGGACCCAAGACTAAGGGGAGTTCATTAGTAGTAAGCATGTATGTACAAAATGAAAAATTGCCACCAATGATGATACCATGATTTGAAAACTGAGGACTCTGACTTCTCTGCATGTCTGTATCCTTATGACTCTCTGTTTCTGCCCTGTAATTCCTGAGGCAGAGGAAGAGGGGATCAGCATGAGTGTGTGGGTACAAGAATTTCCTGGTTCTTAAAGATCATCACAATCTGAATCTGATCTCTCTGCATCTTGGATAAAATGATTTTTGTCTATCCTCTGTGGACCTGGAGTGATAGATGAGGGGCAGGGAGAATATATTGGAAGGGTATTTCTTAGAAAATACCAGAACAAAAGAGAAAAGTAGCACTATATAAAAGAGACCCGCTGATTCAAAGAAGGAAAGGAGACAGGGCATGCTTTTGTGGCGTGGGGCTCACAGGGGCTGGTTTTCACTGCAGCAGAGGCAGCTGTAATGCCCTGCCTTCCCATTTAACAAGTGTCGTTGCACATGATCATTCCAGCTCCTCCTCTGTTCCTGGGCAGCGCCGGGGCTCTCCACAGCGGCCCTGCGTTGAGTCACCTGAGCGTGTGCAGGGCGCTCGTGCAGCGGAGCCACTGCGTTCCCAAAGGCAGGGACTGTCCCTGCTGGGGACAGGGGCAGAAACAAGCCAAGAAACACAGACTGGTAGTGGATTAGTTTACAAATGATCCTGTAGTGACATTTAATCATTAAGAAACAGGTTATTCTTTTGTTTTTCCTGTAGAATTTGATCTGTTTTTCCTCAATACAGCAAGCTGGTCTACTGCACAACTAGTTTTCATAAGGTTCACAGTACTTATATATGCACATATGTATATATACACACACACTATATTCATTTATGTGTACTTACATGCCTATATATTTTATATACTTATATATTTTTTTTTATATGTTCATAACCTTGTATCCTTTTATTTACTATTTGTAAAAGTGTTTGAAAATGCAGGTTCTTACTACTTGATCTAAACTAGTATTCTTAAAACTCAATCCTCCAGTGCTCAAGTGCATAAGGGAGCGCCCAAGGGCTGGGGCTGGCCCTGGTGGCAGGCGCCATGGGGGCCGCGGGCAGCTCCGGCGCGGAGCCCTCGGCAGTGCTGCCTATTGCCCCTTCACTGTCTCTTCTGCTGCGCCGTGTGGGTACCACTGCAGTGCCCAGGGGAAGTGCCCGCTGGACCTAAAGCACTCTTAGCATCTTCAGAATGAGAAGTGAATAGTTCGCTATTTTAGATAGGTTACCCACTGCCTGGAGGAAATGACTCAAGAAGCGGAGACTCCACTTTGTGTATTTTCCATTAGAAAACAGCTCTGCATTTTCCAGTTCAGAAATACGTGATTGTTTCTGTGGATCATGCTACGGTTGCCTTGAAATTCTTACAGAGACAAAGCACACAAGGCCACAATCTTCTCAGCTTTATAGCAGCAAATGAGAAAAGATCTTGTTTGTTTTTCTGATCAAGAGGAGCGTACTTCATTATGTTATCTTTTTTAGGTAACTAAACAAGAAAAGAATCTTATGAAGCCTCTGTATGACAGATACAGAATCATCAAGAAACTTCTTGCAACACCATCTTTGATCACAACAATTGTAAGTTGGGAGGAATACCTATCTATTGTCAAGAAAACATCCTATATGCTATCTGGTTTGTATTTGGTGGCAATAAAGAATCTGTTCATGGGTTTAGAAGAGGGCAAAGAGGTTTCAAACTGAGCAAATGCTCTGTATGAACTCCCAAGCAGGCTGGAGGTGACAATGTAATGCAGAAGTTTTTGTGGCAATCTGTTCAAGTGGTTGGGCAAGGGATCAAAGGCTGACATGGGTTTTTCTATTATGACTAACATATCCAACACCAAATGAAATCTCTCCCTTCTCATAAAATGCTCTGCTGTCTCTGTATCTAGCTTCTGTATGTTTGTTGAAAATGCTTCTATTAATCATGTAGGACAGAGATCATTTGCAGTATGTTTGATTAATATATCATGTAATAGCACCAGTCTCAATGAATGTGCGTAGAGGTAGTGGAATCTGTCAGGTTTTAAGTTAATTATTGTGTTTCTGTCAAAAAATATTAATCACAGAGGCTAGTACAGAGCAATTGAGGCTAAGTAGATTTTAAAAGGTTTGTTCTTTCGTCTTGTTGGATTTCAGTGGAGCTTTAGATATCTTTTGAAATTCCTATCTAAATCTTTGTACACACGAACACATGAACACACAAACGTGCACACTTCATTTCAAAATCTAACTGCACTTCCATTGTTCTAATTAATAGGAGCTTTGGCCCATGGTATGTTCTGTGTAAGTCATTGTTCAAAAGCCCAACCTTTCTCTCGAGGATGTATAGATGTGGCTATACATCCAATAGGCAAGATTCTAATTAACTACTAGCGTTGTAAGGTAAACAACTAATTTGGTAATGCTTTATGTTTTACAAGCAGGAGGAGGAAGACTCAGATGAAGACCATTCTCAGAGCAGCCATGAATTATCATCCAGTCCCATATCCTGCCTGCCTGTTGATGAGCACCTGTGTTACTCCCAGGAGGAGAGTGAGCCTGCATATGTTTCACCTCTGGATGAAAAAAAAGTTTTCAGAAAAACAGCCTTGTCTATGTCCAATTTACATGAGGCAACAATGTGAGCATTGTCTTTTTTTTTTTAATTAATGTTTTGAAATATTTTATGTAGAATTTTGTTATTTAAGCATGATCCATGCTTACTGCATTAAGGTATTCTAAACCAAACAAATAGGCCAATGATTTCTTATGAGAGAGAAGAGGCAAAGAATGCTTGTTCCTTGGTCGGTTTTTTTTTCATTCCTGTGGTTTTAGATATTCCTTCAAATAAGCCTGTGCCAAATCCATAAAGATGAAGGAATATAAACAGGTAAGAGAAATAGCAAAATATACAGAAATGTAGATAATATATAATGGCATAGTAGAAAAGATATGCTGACTTACCTGTTAATGCTCCGATAAAGTTGGGTATCTAATTAATTCTTACAAATCCACCACAAGACGACGCACATCATTCAATAGTTCAGGCAGGCAGCATGGTCTGCTCCTAAATATGCTGTGATTCATTATGTGAGGTACCTTGGTTCTGGCAAAACCATTTCCAGAGACAACAGCTTTCCCACTAGCAGTTACAGCTGTGTCTGAAGGATCAAGCATTACATGGTCACACGGGAGCCTTTTCAATGTGTGTAAAACTAGTGTCTCCCTTCATAAGACTACTAATGTCTGGATGCCCAGAGAATGCAAGAACCACCCCCACACGGTGGTCAGCAGCTCTCCATGAAAAACCAAAAACCAGCTCCTTTTGATTTGTATTCAAGAATATTCAAGAATTCAAAGAAATTTTGTTTCAGCACGAGAGAAGTTGCTAAGTGCACACGGGCTGATATTGCTCAGCCTGAAAGTTGTTTAAAAAGATAGATCTTAGGAACAGTTATGTTCTCAAACTTTATGGGATGTTGTATTTTCCTTGTGTTTTCAGTGGTGTCTTATACAGGCATAAATTGACAAGGCTTTACCAAAACTGAGAGAAGATTAAAATGTGTTTTTTTTTTTTTTCCCATGTAATTCAAATATATGTGCTATCCTGGGCTTGCAAATTGTGTGGAGACATTTCTGTGTTAATATGAACCAGCTAGCTATTCTCTTACTGCTTAAAATATCAGCTAAGGTGCAGAAAAGTTGATTCTGGCACCAATAATTTCCACTGAATCCTGGTAATACTTAGGAGCTGGACTTCAATATTGATACTGCACTGACTATATTAATTCAGTTACAGAGATGCAAAATGCCTCCTATGTGAGCCTGACTCTGGTCAATTCCATTAACTCCAGCTGGAATGGAGACCACTAACATGACCCAGTCCTGAAAGCTTTTCCTCACGTTTTTTTTTTTTTTTAATCGATTCTCTGCCTTCACTGTATTAGAAGGGGGAAAAAATACTAATAAATGAGAAGGAGCACAACGGTTTATCGCATGTGGTTGAACAGCCCATTATAGTCATATGCGGAGGGCTGTGACGGACTTTGCCGGGACACTGTGTGCTGTGCGAGCCGCGGCCCAGAGCAGCTTGTATCACAGATCCACAGCTCTTGCACCACTTCTAGGCACGAGGACTTAAGGGGACTTAATGCCTATGTCTCTCTTGCAGGCCTGTTCTACTTGAACATCTCAGAGAAACAAGAGCAGATAAGAAAAGGCTTCGCAAAGCTCTGAGAGAGTTTGAGGAGCAATTCTACAAACAGACGGGAAGGTAACCAGCCAAACTGCCACATGCCCCTTCGCTCCCCTGTGCAGCGACGTGTTCATTGCACTAGAGCCGGTTTTCTCATGTGTGAGATGGCCACAGACGCTGCAGCCAGGGACTGGAAGGTCCCTGTGCAGGTGCCCATCTGCCTGCTTAGTTCCTCCACATCCTGGAGGATGTGGTATCCCTGAGGAGCTGTCAGGACATGCCTGTAATGGGGACAAACCATCCAGGCTGCCAGACCAGACCTTTCCTGAGCTGTAGGGAGTCTGTCCCAAACTTCTGAAACCATCAGCCTGCAGGGACGACTCCTGACAGCTGAGCCATCTAATTAGCCTAAATACATACGCAGAAGCCACTGGCTCTTTCACTCATAACCACTGGCTATTTTTTGACTCCTCCTTTATCCTCCTCCCTTCATTTAGCAAGCTCATCTGCTGAAACTTGCAAAGGGTATGGGCATGTGCTATATACTGGTAACAGTTTTAAAATCCCTGTGCAATAGCGTCTCGCCATATTTTATAATGAACTAGTTACATCTAAATAGCTGCCAAGGAAGAAAATTACCTGGTTTATGAAAAAAAATCAATGTTTTTATTCTGTCCGTATCTGTGTAGAGTTTTGCTCCTGTCAGATTATCTGTAGTCATTTACAGTTTAAAAACAAATCCAATGTAAAACTCATTAATTGCTGCCCAAATAATTCTAAGACTGTTTCTCATCTTCATCTTAAAAGTGATGGCCCTTTTATCTGCTTTTCATAGGAGTCCACAAAAAGAAGATCGGGTACCCATGGCAGAGGAATACTCTGAATACAAGCACACAAAAGCCAAAATCAGGCTCTTGGAGGTTCTCATCAGTAAGCATGACATCTGCAAAACGATTTGAAATGAGTGCAATGGCGTGGGCTTGTTCTCTAGGGGGGGAGGAAAGAGGGAAGTAATTTAACAGGTCTTGGTCTGCTGCACAATTATTTGACACACTGAGATGCTGATGCACTTTACCAATTGCACTTGCTGGGATGAGAGAGGACAGCAATATGCAAGAATATTAAGCACGGGTGAGTGGACTACAGTCTATTTATTTTCCTTCTGAAAAAGCCTTGAAGTGCACGGTGAAAATGTTAGAAATTAAAAGGACACTGCAGTGTTGCACCCTCTGCCCTGCTCTTACTTTTAAAAAGTGTGAGGAAGTGCTCTCCTGGTTTTTACTATATCTTAATACAGAGTAATGTGCCACACATTTTCTGCAAGGATTAACAGTAAATTTACAACTACTGTCAGTTTTCAGTGTGCTGATTTGCTAGTTTAAAAGCAACACCAGCGTAAACGAACAAACCCTCTGCTAGGATAGAGGTGCCACTCAATTCCAGCAGCTGCAAAGGAAGGTGCACACACAGAGCCAGTGCCTGGGTTTGGATTCAATTCTTCGTGCAAAGTGATGCTGCCTGTGCAAAAACACAAGATGACTGCCGGATTGAGATACTGTTCTTTAGAAATGAGAAAAAGTGTGTG